TCTGAGATGAGAATTGCAACTCCTGCTTTTTTTTTGCTCTCCATTTGCTTGGTAAATCTTCCTGCATCCCTTTATTTTGAGCCTATGTGTATCCTTGCATGTCAGATGGGTTTCCTGGATACAGCACACTGATGGGTTTTGGCTTTTTATCCAATTTGCCAGTCTGTGTCTTTTGATTGGGGCATTTAGCCCATTTACATTTAGGGTTAATATTGTTAAGTGTGAATTTGATCCTGCCATTTTGATGCTAGCTGGTTGTGTTGCCCATTAGTTGATGCAGTTTCTTCATTGTGTTGATGATTTTACCATTTGGTATGTTTTTGGAGTGGCTGGTACTGATTGTTCCTTTCTATGTTTAGTGCTTCTTTTAGGAGGTCTTGTAAAGCAGGCCTGGTGGTGATGAAATCTCTCAGTAATTGCTTGTTCATAAAGGATTTTATTTCTCCTTCGCGTATGAAGCTTAGTTTGGCTGGATATGAAATTCTGGGTTGAAAGTTCTTTTCTTTAAGGATGTTGAATGTTGGCCCCCACTCTCTTTGGCTTATAGGGTTTCTACTGAGAGATCCACTGTGAGTCTGATGGGCTTCCCTTTGTGCATAACCTGACCTTTCTCTCTAGCTGCCCTTAGCATTTTTTCCTTCATTTCAACCTTGGTGAGTCTGATGATTATGTGCCTTGGGGTTACTTTTCTTGAGGAATATCTTTGTGGTGTGCTCTGTATTTCTGGACTTGAATATTGGCCTGCCTTGCTAGGTTGGGGAAGTTTTCCTGGACAATATTCTGAAGAGTATTTTCCAGCTTGGATTCATTCTCTTCATCACATTCAGGTACATCTATCAATCGTAGATCAGATCTCTTCACATAGTCCCATATTTCTTGGAGACATTTGTTCATTTCTTTTTCCCTAATCTTGCCTTCTCGTTTTATTTCATTGAGTTGATCTTCGACCTCTGATATCCTTTCTTCTGCTTGGTTGATTCGGCTATTGAAACTTGTGTATGCTTCATGAAGTTCTCGTGTTGTGTTTTTCAGCTCCATGAATTCATTTATATTCCTCTCTAAGCTGTTTATTCTCGTTAGCATTTCGTCAAACCTTTTTTCAAGGTTCTTAGTTTCTTTGCATTGGGTTAGAACATGTTCTTTTAGCTCAGAGAAGTTTCTTATTACCCACCTTCTGAAGCCTGTTTCTGTCAATTCATCAGACTCATTCTCCATCCTTGTTCCCTTGCTGGTGAGGAGTTGTGATATCTTGGAGGAGGAGAGGCGTTGTGGTTTTGGGTGTTTTCATCCTTTTTGTGCTGGTTTTTTCCCATCTTTGTGGATTTATTTACCTGTGGTCTTTGTAGTTGTTGACTTTCAGATGGGGTTTCTGAGTGGATGTCCAGTTTGTTGATGATGAAGTTATTTCTTTCTGTTTCTTAATTTTTCTTCTAACAGGCCCATCTGCTGTAGGACTGTGGGAGGTGCACTCCAGGCCCTGCTTGCCTGGGGATCACCTGCAGCTGCTGCAGAACAGTAAGGGTTGCTACCAGTTTCTTCTTCTGCTCTGTTTGTCCCAGAAGGATACCCACCAGATGTCAGTCTGAGCTCTTCTTTATGAGGTGACTCTTTGGATATACGGGGATCAGGGAGCTGCTTGAGGAGACAGTCTGTCCTTTATAGAAGCTCAAGTGCTGAGCTGTGAGCTCTGTTGTTCCATTCAGAGCTGCTGGGCAGGTATGTTTAAGTCTGCTGCAGCAGAACTCATAAACGGCTTTTTTTTTTCCCAGGTGCTCTGTCGGGGAAGGTAGGGCTTATTTATAAGTTTCTATCATGCTGCTGTCTTTTTTCAGGTCTGCCCTGCTCAGTGAGGAGGCAGCCTAGTCACTGTCTGCCTGCAGAGGCTTTGATGAGCTCCTGTGGGCTCCGCCCCACTGCCGTGTGAACTTCTCTGCAGTCCTGTTTATAGGGGTATAGTTAGAACTGCCTCGGCAATGGTGGCCCACCTCTGTAATGGTGGACTCTCTCTGTAGTGGCAGACTCCTCGGCAATGGCGGGCCATCTTGGCAATGGTGGACTACCTCAGTAGTGGTGGACTGCCTTAGTAATGGTGGATGCCCCTGCCCCACAGACCTGGACTGTCCCGGGTTCAGCTGTGCTTGCTGTGAAACTCTCAATCCAGAGCATTTCAGATTGCTCTTTTTTGTGGGGGTGGGACTAGCTGAGCCTGATCACCTGGCTCCCTGCATCACACCCCCTTTTTTTTTTCAGTTGAATGGGTGACTCTGTCTCCCAGCAGTCCCAGTCACAAGTTGAAATGGTGCCCAGATTTGTATGATTTCTTTTGTGTAGACTCGCTGCGCCAGCTAAAACTGCCTCTGGAGACCATGGCCCTTTTTTGCCGGGAAATCTCCTAGCTTAGCTCCCTGTTTCAGTTCCCTTCTTGCAGTTGAATGGGTGACTCTGTCTCCCAAGTGTTCCAGTCACCAGTTGAAAATGCACCCAGATTTGTGTGAGATTTTGTGCAGAGACCCGCTGCGCTGGCTGAAATAGCCGCACTGGGGGCTCATGGTGCTTTTTTGCCTGGGAATCTCCTGGCCTGGTTCCATGTTTCAGTCCCATTTTTTTCAGCTGAATGGGTGATTCTGTCTCCCAGGAGTTCCAGTCACCTGTTGAAAAGGCACTGGGATCTGTGTGATTTCCCATGCAGCGACCCACTGCACCAGCTGAAACAGCTGTGCTGGAAATTCATGGTGCTTTTTTGCCTGGGAATCTCCTGGACTGGCTCCCTGTTTTAGTCTCCTTTTTATCAGTTAAACAGGTGACTCTGTCTCCCAGGTGCTCCAGTCACTAGCTAACATGGCGCCTGGACCCATGTATTTTGTGCGGAGACCTGCTGCACTGGCCAAAACAGCCATGCTGGTGACCCATGGGGCTCCTCTGCCTGTTAATTTCCTGGTCTGTGGGCAATAAAAATCTGTCTGGAAATGCGGTGTCCACTCACCCTGTGTGCTCTTGCTGGGAGCTGCAACCCAGAGCTGCTCCTAAGTGGCCATCTTGGATCCCTCCTCTGTAGATAGGTTATTTTTAACAGCTCCTTTAATTAGTTGGTTGATTCTGAGTTGCATTTTATATTCTAAAGATTCAAGGCCCAATAAAAGCAGACAAAGAATTTGTGTTCCCAGAGACCTCTGTTTTTTAGGATGTAGCCATAGGTGCCTCTATGGTTATGTTTAAAGTACACTTTAATGTCTGTTTATCCAGCTTGATTTAATTACAAATTCTTCTTGATTATAGGTTAAATTTTGACTTACATAAGACAATTTGAATTCCATCTGTGTATACTTGGAAGTCATTATTTTGGGATGATTTTTAGTATCTTAGACATTTTGCTAATTAAGAAAGGTTTCTGTATCTGGTAAGCATAAAGGAGGTTTTCCTATATGGGTGATGGCAATTGAATTTCATCTCACTTGCCAATCTTAATGGATTGGTTTGTGTGGAGTGCCAGATTGAGAAGGATTCTGAGGCCAAGTCTGAGCTCTGTAGAGAAGGTTACCATGCATGATAGGTGATCAAGGTCTTCTTGGCTGACAGAGGCAGGAGGATAGAACACGTCCTTCATAATTTCTATCCCTGCTCCATAAACTATCATACAAGATCAGAAGTGCCTCTTCTATGACAGAGACTGAATGCAACCAAGATCTGCAAACCAGGGGAGTGATTAGTGGACACATCAACATAGTTCCATCCTGAGGGAGTCATTTGTTGTTAGCTTGATGACAAATAGCCTGAAATGAAATTATTGAAGGAATCTGATTCCTTGTTAGAAAGATGAAGACATAAATCAACACAAAATTGTGAAGTTCAGAAGTCACTGAGGAGTCTTCTGGAAAGAACGTTAATAAGCCTGCTAGAGTAAAACATAGCCCAGGGATTGGTACCAGATAAACAGGATTCAGCAGTTAGTCATCAGCTTTGTGCCTTTGGATAACTCAGCCTTTCTTCCTGAGACTGCTTCCTCCTCTCTAAAATATGGATACTAATACTTGCTCTGCAGATGATAACAAGTACGTATAAAAAGGGCCTGGTACGGAGAACAACTCCAGCGATTGCCATTTTCCTATAGAAGTGTAAATTGCTGGATATTTTTGAACATTATCCTTTAAGTTTGTTTCTTAACAAGTTTATATTTCAAACATGCTTTTGGGAACCTTTCTACTTTAGAAGATCCATGAGTGTCAGCTATTGCTGGCTTTATGAATATTTAAAGAAAGCAATATAACTCCTATGCAATAGTTGGCATGTGTTTTTATCTGGCAATTCCATGTAAGAGATAATCTAGAGTCAAGCTAAATTACCAGTGACTTTTGAATCTGCTCATCTATGTCCTCTGACTTGAACCAAGCTGTCTGTTGATGCTTGCACTGCCCAGTTCAAATCAATTTTATTGCCTCTTCAGCTGCCATAGTAGCACAACATATAGATCAGAATAAATTGCATCAAAAGAACAGATACGTAACTCAGAAAATAGACAAACTCTGGGCTCAGGGAAAGATGGTGTTCTCAGCACTCTTTCACATGACTTTTGTAATTTCAGTTGCTCTTAGAAATGGATCTTTTTACATGGAAGTTGCTTTTTAAATCTAATTTATACTCAGACTTATCTCCAGAGTTATCTCCAAAGGAGTTTTAGAAAGGAGAACTGTGCAAACATTGTTTATTGGATGGAACTGTTTTCTAGATCCCTTAAGAATTTCAAATATGGAAATTCGAGTAGGAAAATATCATTATCAAAATATTATGTCTCCAAAGAGATTTTATCTTTATTTACTTGGATGTAGGAAAGCAGTCTACATATCTGCCTCTGTTTCCACATGGGAGAGAAAGTTGGGAAGCAGGTGAAAGTTTTATCACTTGCCTATGGTTTTAAAATGTAAAAAATTTCCAGTTGGACCCACAGAGATAAAAGCTGCTTTATAAAAAATCCATTTGGATACATAAATATCTAAAATATGGAATAGGACATTTGTGTTTTGAATTATTCAAACAACTTGGAAAGATTTATCATGGAGAAAGTAAAAAGAAAACATACAGGTGCACAAACACATGCACACACACATACTGCTAATTGGTAAGAGAAATGGTGTGCATGAACATCTGGGAAAAGAAAGCTACATAGAAATGTGAGATTTAAAAATTTCAAGAATCATTTTATAGCATTTTCAGGCTTGGGAGGCAGTGGAGTTCCATGGTTATGACATAGCACTCTGTAGGCTGACAGATCTGGGTACAAGTCTTAGCAACTCAGGAATATGGGTTTTGTTTTATTATTCTTTGCCCCTATCCCCAAGCAAGCTCTCTCATAGTTGTTTATTTCTTTTCTTTCTTTCTTTCTTTTTTTTTTTTTGAGTCAGGGTCTCCCTCTGTCACCCCGGCTGGAGTACAGTGGCACCATCTCAGCTCACTGCAACCTCGACCTGCTGGGCTCAGGTGATTATCTTCCCATCTCAGCTTCCTTAGTAGCTGGGACTTACAGGTGGGTGCCACCATACCTGGATACTTTTTTTGCATTTTTTGTAGAGATGAGGGTTTCACCATGTTGGCCAGGCTGGTCTCAAACTCTACATATTCTCAGATACCCACAGTTCATATTTAGTTTTTATAAATGAAATTAGTGACAATATCAAATATTATTTCGTATGGTCTGTTTGCATAGCGAAACCTCTATTCTTCTTTAGACTAAGTTGGAGACTGGAATTTGCCCTTGTTTTTGGTCACTTTTGTCTATGTTCAAATCTAAGTAGGTGGATTAATTTTAAAATGTCTATATCAGAGTCTAAACTAAAAGACAGACATTACAGTGGAGGAAAACCATTTCCTCTAAGTTGCAAAGGATTATGTAATCAGGAGTCATCAAGGAGCTCTGGAACCAGTGGATTAATATTCTTGATATATAGTGATGATTGTACAATTCTATATATTTGCTAAAAATCATTGGATGGCATGCTTACATGGTTGACTTTTATGGCATGTAAAATCTACCTCAATAAAACTGTAAAAAAAAAGCCTTGATATATTTAAAAAAAAAAACCTACAAAACAATCAAAAGATAAAGATGAAAATAGGTATAAAAATGTATGTGGAAAGTTCCCTTTCCACCTCTTTCTCCCAGATCTCTAGTGCTTTTTCCTTCAATGCAACCTGTTATCAGTATCTTGTGTAATTTCCCAAACACTATATTTAATGTACATACAGTATGTATATGTACTACCACCACTTTATACACTAGCAGTTGGGCACTGTATAAATTGCTCTGCATCCTGCTTTGTACCTCTGCCTTCAAGAGTTTCTCCTATGGATACATACAGTGAGTCCTTGTTATTGTTTTAATAGATGCATAGAACTTCATTGTGCAGATATACCACAATCCATCTACAGGCTTCCCTATTGGTGAAATATTTTTTCAGTATTTTTCCATTAACACTGCAGTGAACATTCATGACTTCACATAAGTGTGAGTATGTCTGTGGAGTAGATTTTTGGATGTAGTTTTGGTAAATGTGGAAAAACGTTTAAAGGTTGATTGCATACGGTATCAGTGAGGGTTTAGAGAAATGAGAAGCCCATGCAGTATTTTTCAGGAGGGCACAATCTTACTGTATATCAACACTAGAAATGTATTTACCCTTTGATCTAAAAAGTACATTTCTAGGAATCTCCCTTACAAAAATCCTTATATATGAACACAAAGTTATATGTTTCAGGATTGTTTGAAACAGCAAAACATTGGAATCAACCTAAATATATAGCAATCTTAGCAGTAAACAAATTATGGTACATCTATATATACTATGAAATAATTCTGAAGAAGTAAAAAGAAAGATGTAGATCTTTATAAATTGATATGGAAGAACAACCCTCTAAAATGTGTTAATGTGAAAAGCATGTTGCCCATGTGGTGGGGTCCCTCATAAGATAGATGGATAGGTAGATAGCTATTTAGATATCTGTCTAGATAGCTCATAAATCTCTTTTCCTCTCTTCTCTCCTCCTTTCCTCCCTTTCTCCTTTCCTTCCTTCCTTCCTTCCTTCCTTCCTTCCTTCCTTCCTTCCTTTCTACAAATGGATAGGAAAAGAACTGGGGATATATATAGATATAAATGTGTATAGACACACACAGAGCACATATATATGATTTATTCTATGTGACTATATTTATATCTTCCATTTTCATACTGCTATAAAGTATACCTGAGACTAATTTAAAAAGAAAAGAGGTTTAATTGACTCACAGTTCTGCATGGTTGGGGAAGCCTCAAGAAACTTTACAATCATGGCAAAAGGAGAAGGGGAAACAAGGAACATCTTACATGGTGGTAGGAGAGAGAGAGTGTGCAGGGGAAACTTCCACTTTTAAATCATCAGATCTCGTGAGAACTCCCTCACTATCATGAGAACAGCATTGGGAAAATCACCCCTATGATGCATTCACCTCCCATCAGGTCCCTCCCTCAACATGTCGGGATTATAATTCTAGATGAGATTTAGGGTGGGGTCACAGAGCCAAACCATGTCAATATATATACACACTTACTAATGTTAGTGTATACATACACACACACACACATATGTATGTTATTAGTGAGCGTTATGTGTATACATGTAAACACACACACTGTTATACTGTTAGAATATATATATCTAATAGTAATATACTAGTAATATATATTTAATAGTAATATACTAGTAATATACTGTTAGTATGTTAGTGTACATATATACATATTTTACTGTATATATGTATTAAATATATGCTGTACATATTTTACTGTGTATATGTATTACACAATATACATTTATAGTATATTTGTGCTAAATACAAATATAAATATATTTATATATACACAACACACACACACTAAAATTTAGCAGTAGTTATCTAAGGAGAGAGAAAAAGGATTGAAACAGAATGAAAGGAGAATTTCTACTTTTTATTCTATTTTTTTTTGAATTGTTGAATTGTTTTTACAGTGAGCACATATTCACACATAACTTCTGTAATTTAGCAAATGATTTTAAAATACCAAGAAAATTCTAGTGAACGTTATCAACTGCCCCCTAAGACTTTATTTTTCTTTCTTCCCCCACCCTGTTTTTGTTAATCATGAGAATTTTCAAGTATTTATAAAGTACACAAAATAATGTAACAGACAACCATGTAACCACCATCCAAATTTAACAGATGTTAACATTTTGCCAAATTTGCTTCAGATTCTGTTCTAATAAGAAGACAGGAAACGTTATCAATAATAGTTAAAGGCTTGTGCCCTACGCTTTTGAGGTGGTGATTTTTTTGGAGTTGTGTATTATTTATAATTTTTTAGATCAGAGAATAAGGTGCCCTTAGATGACTTAAAAGAAAAAAATTCTAGGCGCAGTTTTCCACATTTTGTAGAAAACTTCCTGTAAAAAGGATTAGAAATTGCATCTTTCTTTTTCCTTTGAACTACTTGGAGGGTTTGCCATTTCCTGTTCATTCTCCCCTTCTGGGCCCTCATCTCGCTCCCATCTCCCTGAATGAGCATCTTCCGTGGGCTCTTGACCTCTCCATTCTACCTTGGGAGCCACTGCCAGACTATCTTCCTAAAGCAAAGTTTCTCAACTTTGTTATTACTGTCATTTTGTGTGGATAATTCTTTGTTGCGGGGTCTGTTCTGTGCATTGTATGGTGTTTAGCAGCATCCCTGGCCTCTAACCACTAGATGCCACTAGATGCCTTCCCCAGTTGTGAGAACCATAAGTGTCTCCAGCTATTGCCACATGTGCCCCTAGGGAACAAAACTGCCTGTGATTAAGAATTACCATCCTAAACTGTGACTTTTGATATAACTCTCATGCTCCTAAAAGTCCCGTGGTTCTCTACTGCCTGTCACACCATGTTCAAACTCTCCCCACACCTGTCACCACCCCTGATTTCAAGGCCATCATCTCTTCTCCCACCTCCTACTGGTTTGGTGCTTCCTCCCATCAATCAGTCAGACCTACCTTCCTGCTCTCCTAGTCCTCTTGTATTATGCTAAATCTCACCACTGGGCTTTTGTGCATGCTTTCCTGCATCTTAGGGCGTGATATCTGTTACTTTTTGCCTGTCCAACTGCTGCTTGTCCTTCAAGGTCAGGCATAAGTCTCCTTGTTCCATATAATGTTTCCTGATTTCTTCGGCCCTTAATTGCGTCCTCTTGATTTGGAAGCAGTAAGCTCTGGTGGTTCAGTAAATGGTCTTCAGGATCAGATGAATGTGGGTACAACAGCCCTGATACCCCTACATATGAGCTGTGTGACATGGGCAACTAGTTTAGCCTCTTTATGCTTTGCCTCCTCAATAGCGTAATGGGGACAGCCATCCCTACCTTACAGGGTGGTTGAGAGAATTAAATTACATTTTGTAGACTCTACTTAGCTCCCAAGTATATATACTTCTTCATATGTGTTTGTCTTAACTGTGCAAATGGAATGAAGTTTGTTTGAGACAGGGACTCACTCTGTTACCTAGGCTGGAGTGCAGTGATGTAATTATAGCTCAATGAAGCCTCCATCTCCTGGGCTCAAGCAATCCTCCCACCTTGGACTACCAAAGAGCTGCGATTACAGGCATGAGCCACTGCCTCTAACCAGAATGAAGTTCTTTTTTTTTTTTTTTTTTTTGAGACAGAGTCTAGCTCTGTTGCCCGGGTTATAAGTGCAGTGGTACGATTTTGGCTAACCACAACCTCTACCTCCTGAGTTCAAGCGATTCTTCTGCCTCAGTCTCCCGAGTAGCTGGGACTATAGGTGTGCACCACCACGCCCAGCTAATTTTTGTATTTTTAGTAAAGATGGGGTTTCACCATATAGGCCAGGGTGGTCTCAAACTCCTGACCTTGTGATCCACCTGCCTCAGCCTCCCAAAGTGCCGGGATTATAGGCATGAGCCTCCATGCCCAGCCAAGAATGCAGTTCTTTAAATAAAGGTATTGTATGTTAAAATTTTCCAGGCCGGGCATGGTGGCTCACGCCTATAATCCCAGCACTTTGGGAGGCCGAGGCTGGTGGATCACGAGGTCAATAGATTGAGACCATCCTGGTCAACACGGTGAAACCCCGTCTCTACTGAAAATACAAAAATTAGCTGGGCATGGTGGCACATGCCTGTAGTCCCAGCTACTCAGGAGGCTGAGGCAGGAGAATTGCTTGAACTCAGGAGGCGGAGGTTGTGGTGAGCCGAGATTGCGCCATTGCACTCCAGCCTGGGTAAAAAGAGCGAAACTCCTTCTCAAAAAAAAAAAAACAAAAAACAACTTGTCCTCTGTTGTCTCTAGTGACAGATCCTTTGTAGATATCCAGTAGCTATCTTTGAGTCCATAGGGAAAATGCAGCAGTACATACCTACCAATTATTATACTGCTTCTGTATGTATTCATAACCTTGGGGTCCTTGATTTTCATTCCTTCCAAATGAGTTTCAGAAGAATTAGGCTTATCACCTTGATTTTATGCTTAAATTTAAAAAAGTTAATTATAATTGGTATATAATAGGTATATATATATATTTATGGGGCACATATAACGTTTTGATACAGGCATATAATGTATAACAATAAAATCAGGGTAATTGGGATATCCATCATCTCAAGCATTTATCATTTCTTTGTGTTAGGAACATTCCCATTCCACACTTCCAGTTGTTTTGAAACATACAATAAATTATTATTGACTATGGTCCCCTGTTATACTATCAAATATATTATTTATTGTATCTAACTATATTTTTGTACCCATTAACCACCCCACTTTATCCCCACTACTCTTCCCAGCTTCTGGTAACCATCATTCTACTCTCTATTTCCATGGGATCCATTGTTTTAACTTTAACAATATATAAACAGGGGCTAAGTGGGGTCTCATATGTGAGAACATGCACAATTTGTCTTTCTGTGCGTGGCTTATTTCACTTAACACAATGTCCTCCAGTTCCATCCATGTTGTTGCAAATGACAGGATTTTCTTTTTTAATGGTTGAATAATATTCCATTGTGTATATATGCCACATTTACCTTATCCATTCATCTGCTGATGGACATGTAGATTCCAAATCTTGGCTATTGTGGATACTGCTGCGATAAACATGGGAGTGTAGATATTTCTTCCATATACTGATTTTCCTACTTTTGGATATATCCCTAGCAGTGGGATTGCTGGATCAGTTGGTAGCCATAATTTTAGTTTTTTGAGGAACTCCTATACTGTTCTCCATAGTAGCTGCACTAATTTACATTCCCACCAACAGTGTATGAGGATTCCCTTTTTTCCACATCCCTGCCAGCATTCATTATTGCTTGTCTTTTGAATAAAAGCCATTTTAACTGGGATGAGATGATCTCTCACTGCAGTTTTGATTTGCATTTCTCTGATGGTTAATGATGTTAAACATTTTTTATACACTTCTTGTCCATTTCTATGTCTTCTTTTGAGAAATGTCTATTCAGATCTTTTGTCCTTTTAATTTTTATTATTTATTTATTTATTTTTGAGACAGAGTCTTGCTCTGTTGCCCAGGCTGGAGTGCAGTGGTATGATCATGGCTCACTGCATCCTTGATCTCCCAGACTCAAGAGATCCTCCCACCGCAGCCTCCCTAGTAGCTGGGACTACAGGGACATGCCACTGCACCTGGCTAATGCTTGTATTTTTGTAGAGATAGGCTTTTGCCATGTTGCCGAGGCTAGTTTTGAACTCCTGGGCTCAGGAAATCCACCCACCTTCGTCTCTCTAAGTGCTGGGATTATAGGCTTGAGCCACTGCACCCAGGCCCTTTGGCCCTTTTTAAAATCAAATTATTTGATTTTTTTTTTTCGATAGAGTTGTTTGAGCTCCTTGTATATTCTGGTTATCAATCCCTTGTCAGATGAGTAATTTGCAAATATTTTCTGCCATTCTGTGGCTTGTCTCTTCACATGGTTGATCGTTTCCTTTGCTGTGAGAAAACTTTTTAGCTTGATGTGATCCCACTTGCCTACTTTTCCTTTGGTTGCCTGTGCTTTTGAGGTATTACTCAAGAAATCTTTGTCCAGACAATGTCCTGGAGACTTTACTCAATGTTTTCTTTTAGGAGTTTCAAAGTGTAAGTCTTATATTTAAGTATTTAATTCATTTTAATTGAATTATGTATATGGCAAGAGATAGAGGTATAGCTTCATTCTCTCTTGTACAATGTTTAGCAGCATCCCTGGCCTCTAACCATTAGATGCCAGTAGATGTCTTTCCCAGTTGTGACAGCCATAAATGTCTCCAACTATTTCCACATGTGCCCTGGGGAGCAAAATTGCCTGTGGTTAAGAATTACTGAGGCTGGGTGTGGTGGCTCACTCCTGTAATCCCTGCACTTTGGGAGACCGAGGCAGGCAGTTCATGAGGTCAGGAGTTCGAGACCAGCCTGACCAACATGGTGAAACCCCATCTCTACTAAAAATACAAAAATTAGCTGGGCATCGTGGCACACGCCTGTAGTCCCTGCTACTCAGGAGGCTGAGGCAGGAGAATAGCTTGAACCTGGCAGGTGGAGGTTGCAGTGAGCCAAGATTGCACCATTGCATTCCAGCCTGGGCAACAGAGACTCTGTCTTTAGAAAAGAAAGAAAAGAAAGAAAAGAAAGAAAAGAAAGAAAGGAAGAAAGGAAGGAAGGAAGGAAGGAAGGAAGGA